GAAGGAAGGAAGGAAGGAAGGAAGGAAGGAAGGAAGGAAGGAAGGAAGGAAGGAAGGAAGGAAGGAAGGAAGGAAGGAAGGAAGGAAGGAAGGAAAGAAAGAAAGAAAGAAAGAAAGAAAGAAAGAAAGAAAGAAAGAAAGAAAGAAAGAAAGAAAGAAAGAAAGAAAGAAAGAAAGAAAGATCTCAAATACAGAATTTTTGCCTCCAAGCTATATTTCTTAAGAATATCAGAAAGTCAGAGAGCAGCAATGGATTTAATATAGATGTCACACCATCATATTAGGGTTGAAAATATCTGTTCTTTATTACTAAAAGATAGAAGTCTCCCATTTTTTATGAGATTTGCAGATTTTGTGCTTAGTTTAGAAAAATGATGGAATTTGGAGCCTGAAAATGTCTCATTAACTAGCTGATTGTATGCAAAGTGTTTCAGAATATCACTAATTCCCTTTTCCTCTTCAGCTGTGTGTCAGTATATATTTTTTTCTGGGAGGTTGAGATCTCTCCTTAAAATATTTCTGTAACAGCATTTCTGTAAAGTGAATATTGTCACGGCTAGCCTATGCTGACAGCGACCGTGGGAGTTGATAGTGCCAGCTTGACTGATTGTGACCATCCTAAACTCTTCCTGCCCTGTCTCCTGTGAAAACTAGTGACATTTGGGCTTCCTCCCCATACCAGTGCAAGCTCATGGAACCTGCTGACCTGCTCTGTTGGGACTGAGCTCAGCCCSACAAGCTCACCAAGCTTGCAAGCCTGCCCTGGGCCGTGCGGTTCAGTATGCTGCAAGTGTGAGATAAATTTAAGTTAGTTTACCCCAGAGCGAAAGAGATTTATTGTAGTTCTATAAAATTATCATCAGCTATATGGAACAAGGCACAGGGGCACACTGCTCAGCTGAAATGGAAAGGAGACCTGTCTTCCTAGTGTATCTGTGAAAAATCTTGTAATTTTGGAAATACCATATAAGTATATGAGGTGTGCCCTGTTTTCTTCATTTGTCTAAAAAAAAAAAAAAAAAGATTAAATGATCATTTTATAACAAAAAGAAACATTTGGTAAATTACAAATTTAATATTCTATATGCAAATTGTTGTTTGTTTACAGTTGGATTATTAATGCTGTTGCAAAAAGTCCTGACTTGGAAAAAAAGAACAAACCCACAAAAACTCACCCTTATTTGTCCTATCATCCTCCGTTTCTCAACTGAACTGCAAATTAACTCTGCAATTTAACTGAAATTTCAAAGTTAGAAGGTAGTTCTCTTCCTGTAATTACAGACGTTTCTTCTTGAAGGATCTTTAAAGCATTAATGCTCCCTGGAGAGAAGGGATACTTTCCAAACAGAATAGGAYTGCCTGTCAGCAGGGTGCTTTGGTTGCGAACACGCTAACAAGTGTTTTGTCTTTGCAGATGTTGCTTCCCTCCATCTGAATGACTCTTCCTATGACAGTCTGGAAAATGAGCCRAATGATGAAGCCGACTCCTCATCTAGCGACTGGATTAAGAACAGAGATCAGGACAACAGGAGCAGGGAGTCTGTCTTTACTCTGAGTGATGGTGATTCAGAGCAAACAGAGGTGGATGAAATCCGGAACAAAACCAAATCAAAACAGTTGACCGTTTCTGTTGACGTACACCATAAGTTTTCATCACAAGAAAACTCGGAGAAGGAATCTCTGTGCTCCAGCGCATTGGGCTTCTCTTCAGCAACTACCTCAGGTGCTCTTAAAACCCCGAGGAGACACAGGCGCTCCTCAGAGCCCACAATTGGCCTTCTGGCCCCTGGTTTCACCCGCCTCAGTGAAACCTGCGATAAGGCGGCGCGCAAAGCCAGTTGTGACGTTTTCCTGTCTCACGAAGATGAAGACTATCTCCACCAGCTTCGTTCATTACAGATGGAAGGGCAAAAGCTTATCAATCAAAGCTTGATTATAGGGATTAATGTGGGCAAAAGTGACAACMTGAGGCAAAACATAGAAAAGAAGGACCTGTCCCATTGCCTCCTGCCTCCAAACCCAGAGGGGTTAAATATTTGCTCAGGATTTAGCTCTTCTAGCTTATCTTCTCCTGGGACATCTCCATCTTTGTCATCAATGAGCTCCCTGGACAGTGCTTTCTCTCAGTTTTCAGACCAATCTGTATTTACCCCAACTGAAACCTCCTCCCCTTTGGATAGCACTTTCCAGTTGCTAAAGAAACACGAAGACGCTGCTACTGAAGCAGGTGATGACTATTTGGTTAAGCCCACTGGGGTGCCAGCACCTCCAAAACCTACCGAWGCTTTGGTTGAGGAGGGCTCGGTGGAGACCAACAGCAGGCCTATGAAACCTACGGAAGCAGCGGATGGCTATTTGGTTACGTCTGACATTGAGCCCTTACCTCTGAGAGTCACGGGAAGAGACAGACTAGATCCAAGATCAAAGAGGAGGTTGAGAAGAGCACTGCAGCAATCCAAAGTCTGAAGAGATCGACCAAAGCTTTTTCAGAAGGAACCTTACGCTTAAAATAAACACCATGAAAAATGCCTTTGGTGTTAATGTGTGTTCAATTTAAGTTTAATATCCAGGCTGTTTAAATATAATTGAGCAGTCCCAGGATTCATGGGTTTTCTTTTTATCTTAGGGAATTGTTAAAGTAATTTTCCCATGTAAAGTTTTGCAAGACTATTGTAAGAATAACAAAAACTGTTAAAGAGCCAAGAAACAGAATGCTCCCTAAAATCTGAAAAGGTCCCAGGAAATGCTTAAGAGAAGTATCCTGTTCCCTGGCCCCGCYGGGGCCGCCGGGTGCTTGCTGGGACTCTCCCCTTGACTACTCGTGTGTTGAGCCTTGCGGATGTGAGTCCCAGTCTTTGTGGTTTTGACGTAGCGTGCAAAGTCAGCCTAGATCCCATAACTGTGGTATTATACTACTGGTCTGAAACGGATAGTTATTACTTCCCTTGTCCTCCAAGGAGTAAGTGTGTTGTTTTCTGTATGTTTATACAGTATGTTTGATAGGTGTAGGTATTTCTTTCACACTGCAAAAGAAAGAAAGAAGGAAAGAAAGAAAGAAAAAGCTCATAAATATGTAAAGTTAAATGCCGAAGCTTGTAACTAACACCTCCCAACTCTGCGTGTTTCATTTATTGTGCTGTTGGCTGTTCTGTTCATATTTAAGTTGTGAATAGTTTCTTAACATGGCTGTAAATGGCATTATGTATTATTCCAAGCAGAACACATGTAATTTTATTATGCAGCATTTAAAACATCATATAATATATTAAAAGTAATGCATTATCTAAATGCTTTGAGTTTGTATAATATATCCTGAAAAATTTTGCTATTATATATGTTCTGAAAAGAAATGTGTATTTTTGTACTTGCAAAAACTGCTGCTAATTTTACGAGTTCTGTTTTGTTGTTACAGCACTGGTATTGATGTGTATGCATTCAATGCTATATATTAAATATTATTTGTTATGTCATAAATTCAGTTTATACCGTGTAATTTTTTTTAGATGTCAATGCTACAGAAGCAGAAGTCCCAGTGATGCCTCTGCAAAACTTGCATGGGAAATGACTGCAGCTTTTTTTCTCCTCTTTGGATGGCATCATTCATATTGCATGTCATCGTTTTGTTGACTTTTGTGACATTTTAGCCTTATTTAACAAGATTTCCTACCCCTTTGCTCTTCATTCGGAGGAAGGAGGATGCCTTCAGCTAGTGGAATGCAGTCAGCACTACAGAGGTGCAGAGAGAGCGTTTCAGAAATAGAAATTAAGCTTGGAGCGGGGGCAAGATTGGGKTTTTTTTAGTATTAGCAGGGTTGTAGAGAAGCAATAAGGAACACCAGTGTTAAATTAACATGTGGGCACACATGTGTGCACGCAGTRCTTCTGCAAGAGGAGGGATTCATTAGCTTTCCCTTTGCAGAAGCCCCCAGCCCTCCAGTTACCACCCCCCAATGCTGGAGCTTCACACACTGCCCTGTTGAGCTGCGCCCTGGCCATGGCACCCAAATTGCAGAGCACCTGTGGTAAATGTGAAGCTGTCCACTACGCTAAGTGCCTTCCAAGTATTGTTGATGCAAAAGCCTCTCAGCTTCGTGTCAGCGAGAATGAACAGTCTCCAACAGATTCAAAGTCGTGTTTTACAAGGTSGGAGAAATCCTTCCTTGAAAACACAGGATCAGACCCCTTATTGTTCTGGGGTCTGATCCTGAAATCATTGTATCTATCTGTAAGCAAAGCTGCATCTGTAGAGACCCAGGAAATGCCATAAAACACCATTCACTTAGAACTAAACTAATCTGTATTTWTTTTTTTKCAAGCTCAAATACTTCACTGGAATTTATTCTTACATTTTTCAGATTCCACCATCTTTAGTGCAAATACTGATACACAAAATCTGATCTTTTCACCTTCTGAAGGTAAATTCCTTGGTATGTATTTTGAGTCCTTTTACCTAATAGTCCTACATATTCACCTCCTTAAAAACAAACAAAAAAAACCTCTATTTTGAAATTATTCACCTCCTTAAAAACAAACAAAAAAACCCTCTATATTGAAATAAAACAGCTACTCCGCATTTCTTTGCCAAGTGGTAAGAAGCATATTGCTGTGCTCTGCTGTCAAGATTACATCAAGTAGCAAATGCTGATTCATTGCCACAATAATAAAGCTTTAGAAAAATCTCTAGTCTCTGCAATATAAATGGTCTGTCCTGCAAATGGTACCTTCCAACAAGTCATTTATCTCTGCTGGTCTGAGGCGAAAGTATATCCAAGAGTGCTTCAACGTGAAACAAATTATGTGTCTGCTTTTGAGCTGTAGCTAATGGCAGAGTGCTTTCAGATTTAAACACATGGTGAACAAGCTGGGTGTAGATTTACTGCAGTTTAAAATGCACTGCTGTCTTTTCAGACATGTACCCTGCTGTTGCATGTGGCCGGCTCTGTGATGGCCACAAAGGAGAGCGCTAGCGGGGGCCACTGCTGCCTACAGCTCGATACAAGGGAAATAAATCCTGCTAAAATCCCAAAGAAATGATACCAAGCATTCCCAGAGTATAAGACACAACTCTGAAGACTCCAATGCAGCAGTGTTTTGCTATTAGTAGGAAGCAGAGGGTTAATGTACCAGAAGATCCCTCCTTGTTTCCCATGGGAACTCTGAGGGACTGGGGAAAGGCTCCCTGGTTTGGGGCATCTTAAGAAGAAGGTTTTGTAGCTCCTGACCTTTTCTATGAGCCTGCTCATGGCCTGTGAGAAGGTTTTGGGCTAGGAGGAGCTGCCATCTGCCTGGGCGCACGTGGGGCTCCTGGCCCCGTGGACACCACATCTTCTCCTGCTGCAGACGATGGCTGATTTGGGCTCAATGTTGGAGCTTTAGGTGGTAGGTGAGATGTTTCCTAACTACATTCTGCTTTCCTGAAGCAGGAAAGAGAAAAAAAAAATAGTAGAATAAATGACTGACTTCTTAGAGCTGAAAAAGTGGCACTGACTGCTCATTCACTGCTGTCAAACACACCAAATAAAATAACAAATTACCTCTCCTGCTTGTTCTTTCTGTCCCTTAGGAGCTCATGATCTTATCAAAGCTGAGCATCCTGCCTCTGGTTCACAAGTACCGAACAGCTTTGCTTTCAGGTGCTTTTGGAGATTCATTTAACTTTAGAGCAATTTGTCCTCAGCCTGCTTTAAAAGTTGCCAGGGGCTAGGGGGGCTTTTTCAGCTCTGTCTGTTGGTCACATAAATGCTGCTGCTTCTTCCCCACAAGCTTTATCTCTCTGATACAGCCCAATCTGGGACAAAAGAAGATTTGTGGCATCTATTCTTCACTTAAACTAGTTTATATGGTTCCAGTAAAACAGACTATAGATCCTAGGGCTGAAGCACAACTCATTAACAGAAGTTGTCCCTTTATCCATGCCCCAAACTACCAGACTCTTTGTTCATACGTGTTGGTCCAATTCCCTTCCTGTTCTGGGGACATGGTCTCCATGTCTCGTGGAGTCTGCAATAGCCTCATGGTCTGCAGTTTATTTCCATCTTTGCCGTCAACCAGCTTTGTGGCACTGGGCACAYTTACCTGCCTGTTTCCTGTTCCAGTCCCACTGCTGGTCCTGTCTCCATGTCAAGGCCAGGACAGGGTCATTCTGCTCATTCTCACTTATGCAGCACCCAGCCTAGCACAGAGGTGTCACCCGAGCAGGACCTCTCCAAACCACTGGTGCACAAAGTGCAGGGTGAAACCAGTCCCTGCTTAAGCAGGCGGATTGGGCTAGATGATTTCTAGGGATCCCTACCAACCTCAACCAGTTTGTGATTCTGTGKGAAACCTGTTGACCATTCTGGGTTTATCACAACTATAATGGTGTCTACATAAGACAATAAATTTCTTAATGGCTTTGCTCAGGAGCACAGACTTGTTACTTCGTTTTCTACCACATCCACAGCCCAGTACGATGCCTCTGCCTGGAGCAAGCAGGGAAACACAAGTTGCTGCTTCAGTTGGTTTCCTTTGATCCCTAACATACCTACCACATACATACCTCAAACATAACCTCATCCTCTCACCACACACCGCCACAAAGAGCCTGGCTCCATCTGCTCAGTGACTTCCTCATAGGTGCCAGGAGCTGCTCAGAGGTGTCCCTGAAGTTGAAGTTGTCTCCAGCCCAGGCTACACAAGTCCAGCTCTCTCSGCCTCTCCTCACAGGGCAAGMGCTCCAGCCCTGACCATCTCTGTGGCCCTGCCCTGAACTTAGTTCAATGTATTGATGCCTTTCTCCTATCAGCAGGCCCCAAACTGGATGCCGTATCTAGTATGTGGTCTGATGAGTGCTGAGTAAAGGTGGATCATCCCTTCCCTCCATCTCTKCTTCTGTCAGCCCAGAGAGCTGTTGGCTGCCTCTGCTGCCAGGGCTCGCTGCTGGCTCATGTCCAGCTCACCAAGAGACACCCTCAGGGCCTTTCCATCAGCAAGCGTGAACTTCTTATGTGACATATTCTCTCTCCTTCTTAGGCTTCGAATGTCATAATAATAACAATTACAGGCAAGGAATAATTTTCTTGGAGTTTCCTATGCTGAATTTGACACGTGGAAACAGAAGTTCAGTGGAATGCTTCTTTTCTGGTCAGYTTTGCCTGTGTCCCATTTGCTGGGTTTGCTCACCCTGTATACCCAAACTCTGTCTTGTAGGGCAGAGTAAAGAAGACACTCATCTGCCTTTGGTGTGACACCAAACCCAGCTGTCCCCGCTGCTCAGCAAGCCCAGAATACAGARGAGGGAAGATTGCAAGGGACATTGGAAAAAAGGATCAAACATGGTATAAAAAGCATGATCAGGAGAAAGTATGTCCAAGTGGCAGCAACTTGTTCCCTTTCTGTAGGAAATAAAATATAGTGTGTCTGTGCATGTCTGTTACTAGTTATCATCTGAGAACTATAGGGAAGAAATGACTTAAACCAGACAAAGGAAATTTTTATATGCCTGACACAGATTACTGACACAGGCTTATGTCTGGAGGAGGGATGGCAGTGACTCCAAAACCTGTCCCTGAATCAGCAGAAAAGTGGAATCAGACCCTCATTCTTCAAGGCTGGGGAAATTCAAAGGTAGCGGTCTCAGATATTTGAATAAAGTATTTTGGAACAGACAGTAGTGCTGATTTTTGAAATAATCCAGAAAAAAAATCTAAGAAACCAGCAAAAGTCCTAGTCTTACACCTGATCTTCAGACTCCCTTTTATATCAGGAATGGAGATGATGGTGGTGTGTATTTCCCAACAGATCCAAAAGAGGTGAATACTCACAGAAAGACAGCTGGGACAGCTTCATCCACACACAGCACTTGAGGGACCATCTGGAGGAGAAGCCAAGGCCATGGTCATGCTCAGGACATCTCCCTCGCTGAGTATATGAAGAGGAGGACCCAAGGATCTCTGCTCAGCCTCATCTTTGGCATTCACATAAGGCCACTTCCCTTTGGAAGCTCTTTTCATTGGTGGCCAGCGACAGGATGAGGGGTAATGGGCATAAGCTGAAACACAGGAAGTTCAGTCTCCAGGTGAGGAGGAACTTCTTTACTGTTAGGGTGACAGAGMAGTGGAACAGGCTGCCCAGGGAGGTTGTGGAGTCTCCTACTCTGGAGGTCTTCAAAACCCRCCTGGMTGCCGCCCTGTGCCACATGCTSTAGGTGTGCCTGCTTGAGCAGGAAGGTTGGATTAAATGATCTCTAGAGTTCCCTTCCAACCTTGAATATTCTGTGATTC